GGTACCTTTTAAGCAAGAACATTCTAACAAGTTGGAGAAAACGAGCCTAAGTATGGCGATGAATGGGTAAATATCAGTCTAAATGGAGGTGATCCAAAAGGAAGCTGAAAGTCTAGGATTGTGTGTAGTTTTAGAATGTAGTGCGGAAAACGGTGTTCGGATAAACAAATAACTTTCTTTCCCACTTTTTTTTCATCGAAGCTATTCCAGCTTATTTTTGTCATTGTGGGTTCAATAGGGTCATGAGCGGACTCTATCTTAGCGTAATTCTCTAGTTTTTATTGTAATAGGATTTCTCAGAAGAAAGTGACATATATATGTATATATAATATATGGATATATATGTGTAATATGTTTCTTCAAGGGCAGGTACATACTGTTTTCACAACGTTGGTTTGTATATAATATGCTTCTTCACTACTGTTGTCAAATACAAGAAATTATTAAAAATAAAAGAGCACATTTGTCCAGATGTCCAACAGCGTTGGTGACAAAGTCTATCTTTTACTATTGCATTGAGTACAGTTTTGAAAATGGCATCGCCGTACACCAGGTTCAAACTCCGAATTATTGTGTTAGAATTCTGGTCCTGTAAACTATTAATGCAACGTAACTTTTTAGGCAGATTATAGCTTTTACAAACTACATTTAAGGGTGGGTTATAGTCAAGCTTATGAATACACAATGAATAAATGATAAGTATTCCCGACAGATAATTTGCACACCATTTCTACAGATGTGATAAGTTACTTACAACATTGATTTACACATAAAACCCTTCTCAAATAGGATCCCTAAACAAAATAAATCGATGAAAACAAGTGACGGCATATTTGTGCAGATGTCGATCATTGGGTGTTTGCGTTGATACTGTATTATGAGTGCATTTTTTGGTCTGTTTCGAAAAACAACATCGGGTCTACGTTGTGATTTTTCGAAAGTCATTTCACGCTCAATCTTAGCATTCGTATGCTAGAGTTGTTGTGCTGTCAAGCAATTGTGTGGGACAATTGTTTAGGAAGTTTTTACTTGTCATTTAGTAAACATAAAGAGCGTCTGGCATAATCTGTGACCGTGATAGACAAGAAAAACCCCATGAACATGCACTACGGACGTACTACTGAAATAAGCGAAGAAGAACCAAAGGAGTAATAAAGCACATAGATACAAACCCTGAACAGTACTTAACAGTTTGTAGTGAAACAGACAAAGGTATAGTAAAGTAATAGGTTAAACTCATACCAGCCCATGTAGCTCGAGGAAAATGTGGTTAAAGCCCTCAGATAGGAGAATTCCGTAACAAAGAATAATGAGTTAGTTAGGTGGAATGGGTTCAAATGATGGAAGTCGAACTTAGAACAAGGACAGTAGTGCACCGAACGTGAGTAAATTGTTAAGAAACGCAGACAACTACATATTTCATTAACTGACCTTTTAGCTCTCTCTTTATCATTTAATGTCAGCCACTAGGTCACAATGTAAAAGTCTGATTTGGCATGTTACAGGTTATCTTGACAGAATAGCGAACTGAACACAAGATTGGAAACATGAGTCTGAGTAGCGAGTGTGGGGGGGGGTAAACCAAGTATCGCTGACTGATTACCTCATCCTCAACCATAAAAAGCTTGAAACGAACACAATTTTTCTCTCCGCGAACATGGATGGATTAAAGCCATGACCCTACAGTCAGTATTTGCTGGTTAGTAACTCCATCCACCTTCCTTTTGTGGTCTTAGTGTTATAACTTGTCGATTGAAGTCTACTTGTTATATCTGGTCATCGCTGATTGTTATGTCGGAAACGCTTATAACTTCTACTCGAAATGAGGGACCTCCACAACCACCAGGACGCGAATTTAAGAACATAAGGACTGGTATAAATGAAGATTTATTGTCCCCAACTCACAATGACGGCGACCCTTGTCGAAAATACACTCATTCATACATAGATTGTGCACATATTTTGATTAATAATTAGGATGAAATCACATATATGAAAAATACTGAGTTATAACAAATCACATAAAGAGCATAGTTCATGTCAATTGTATACAAGAATATCGCATATTGTACAAAATAAAATATCATACGAGGAAACAAGACCGAATACTACAATGAATAATCATCACATTAAATAAGAACGGAAGTAATGTTGAACAAAACTCATTATAAGTAAATCAATCAAATTTGGACTTTACTTTCCATCATTTCACCTTCCTTTCCTTTTTTGAAAGTGCATAGTTTAGATCCTGACATTAAATTTTCTGACTTTATCCTCATCCACGAAATAATGTTGGGTCTTCATATTCCCAAGTTACGGTTAGTATGACTCTATTTAAAACATATCACCACTACTACTTCGTTTACATTACTGCTTACCAACGATTCACGGAGGCTTTCATTGATACGTTCATATGTTCTGTAGTTACTTTCGAGCTCTGTACGCAAATTAGAAACTAATTCATCAACTTCTGTCACATCTTTAAAACATGGATGGTTTAGCAACCGTGTGCGCAAAATGTCTAAGCGTTCAACTAGCTCTCTTTGAAACGCTGCTGTTGTCGCTCAAATAACAACTGTAATTGATCAGAAGGGACACCTATTTCCTGAATCAGCACGGTAATGAAAATTACTGTATAACTAATTATCAAACATTGTCGTTCAAGTAGACCGGCGAGAACCCTGTATACTGATTGCTCGAAATAATTACACTTGATTTTGTCCAATTACAGGCTGAGCCTGATTCATTAGCTTTAAGATTGAGGGTTTAGAATTTTTTATCACCACGTCGCCAATTGTTATATCTTGTCGACTGAATTCTACTTGTTACATCTGGTCATCGCTGATTGTTATATCAGAAACTCTTGTCACTTATGGTCGAAACGAGGGACCTCTGCAGTTAGTTTCATTAAGGTCTGTTTTTAGATAAAATATTGCATCTATTTTTCACATCCTCCTGGAGACCACCTATAAGCATCGCTTTACAAGGCTATCAGGTGGTTAAAAATTATGGACTGTGAGTAACGCATCGATGAAATGCTTCAAATGACTATGGTATAAAATATAAGTTCCCAAACGAATTATAAACATCAAGAACGGTATAGTACACAATAAGTATTTGTCGAAGTAAAACGAAAAGCTTAGGAACATAAAAGTTGTGGATAAAACGAAGAATATTCTATTCAGTAATTTCTCATCACGTTCTTTAATTATATACTGATGTAACTGGACAATGTTTGGGGCGAAGTGCATCACGTAAAGTTATAACATGTGAATGAAGGATTACTTGTCACATAAAATCAAGCCAAATAGTTAATGTTGAGGTGACAAATATGAAGTGTTAACTTGAGTAAGTTTATATGTTAAATGAAATTGTAATAGATACGACAATGAGTAATCAAACAAAGTTATTGGTAAGTAAACATAGTGTATGTGCAAGTAAAAAGCCGTCGGAAAATGAACAAAAATGAACTCACATTACTCTGGTGCTAATAGTATTTTGTGCTATCCTAACCGGCTCATGAGAACAAGCTCCATGGATGCAAGACCACCGGAATTAGGCAGGAGAGCATGATATTGTCTAAGCGATTCTTTAGGACAGTAGCGAGCGTCCTTTTAGACTGAATATACTTGTTCAGTATTGGTGGGTCCGGTGAGATATCTATCTACTGCAAGTCAAAGTTAAGGAGGGACATATGCTTACTATCTAAACACATGAACATTGGTACCGAACGGTACCAAATATATATACGTCACACTTCGTCATTCGATTTGACTCTGAATCAACCTTTATATTCGCTTGCTGGCACGCATTAACCATTTAGCACAAATTCGCTCGGTGTGCTTGTAACTTTGTTATCTGTTCTATTCAATAATGATCTGTGGTCGCCTCTGGTATTGCCTTCTGAATTCCTACACCGTTATGATTTATTTAATAACAGTTGTCAGGGTATTCGATGGACGAAGCCTACAGTATTATCTTGAAGCTAAAACACTACAATTGTAGATGTGTTCACAGAAAACTGCGTTAGTAATGTATGCTCAGATTAGTTACTGACGTGAGTTTAGGCAGTAAGTTCTTGTCAAGTATTAGTTTTGTTTAAAAAGACGTATCTCCTATACATAGTCAGCCACATTTTGCTGTTTTGAGCTCTAACTTCTAGTGCATAAAACAGTTATCTACCTTGTGGTATACTACGTACATCACAAATGTTAGCTATCTAGATGACTTAAGTCATCAACTTAAAGGCAAGTCTTACCCGTGTTTAAGCACCCGCATATATTGTAGATTGTGAAAAGCAATGGGCTCAAGACACGACCCTGAACAACGCCACCGGTCATTGTTCGAGATGCAGATGTTATGAAGTTAATTTTAGTTATTTGGCATCTGTTCGTGAGAAAAAACTTAATAATAGGGGGTAAGTAATTTTAACTGAATGAAGTCTGATAACAAGAAATTACAAAGTACCTTATCAAAAGTTATATTGATACCGAAATATAGAATGACCACTAGTTTTTTGGTCACGCATTCGAGTAACCTCGTTAGAGAAATCTATAAGGCTTGTAATTCAGGACCTTGTGCTAATGAAGCCATGCCGCGACGGCTAAATTAGACCTTTTTAAAGCAGGTGATCAGACCATTAATCTTGTGTTATTTTTCATTACGCATAATTGGTCTGTAGTTTTGGGTCAGGTTTGTACCAGATCACGTTGGTCTCACTACTAAATATGCCGCAGTTATTCGGATATCGACAATGCCTTAACACGTAACACCTATATAATCAAAGTATGCCAACCTAGTCAGATCAGAAGTCAAAAGGCAAAGAGGTTCAAAAAAATAGTTGAAAGGTTACCGACATATCAGGAAGTGTTTGATCTAAACTGGCTAACGGTTGTAAGAGAGGCGTGTCGCGATATATCCAGTATTTATCTGGTGTGGATGCATGACCAAGCACCTTCACATAGATGTGTCAATTATGAATGAAGAGGTCAGCGTCAAACGTCAAAGACAAGAAGGACTATTTATCTTAAGCATTTATTTACCAACACAAAAACATTTAAACCTTTAGCGCCAAGAACCAAACGTACGGTACTCGTTTATTATTTGTTCAGGTTGTCCTTGATATTACGCATTAGGTTTGCTTTGGGAAAAATTCAGACGAGTGGTTTTCAAAAGACCACCAGCTGACTGAGGTAGACAAATGGACAACCATCCTTGGTCGCAAGGGGAAGGTTGACGTCATTTACCTTGAATTCTCAAAAGCTTTTGATGGGGTCAGTCATATATGTCTTATCAGTAAGCTAAAACGATTGATTACCAAGTCACCTTCAGTTTATCGGCTCACTTCATGTCTAAAAAATCGACATTTTAAGGTCAGAGTCAACTTAAGTTGAGAGAAGTGAATTCACTTCTCTCAGGCTATGGGATGCCCTAGTGGGGTTCCTCGGGGTTCATTACTAAGACCTCTTCTTTTCTCGATTAACATAAACGATCTTCTACAGTAAGTATTATCAGATTTATTGCTTTTCGTTGACGATGTGGAACTCTGGAGAGAAGTTCGTAACCAAGAGTATAAACTGGCACTTGAGGAAGATCTAACTGGACTTCGAAGTTGGGCAGATGACAACGGACGTACCTCTAACAATTCAAAGTATGAGCTAGTCCATCTGAGACATGGAGCAGATTACAACTGCGAGTTAGGTAACTTTCTCTAGAAATATCCCAAGTTGAAAAAGCTCTGAATGTTGGAATCCTATTATTTAAAGTCTTTCGCTAACTGCGACAAAAATGTCCTCCGAAAAACCTTCAACTGGTAACGCCGAAGCACATTTTTGGCTAGTATGGCGGAGTGACTTTCCACATAATCTTCAACGGTTTTATTCAACATAATATGACACTATCCTTAGTCCTTAAGAATAGATCAAGTTGCCTCTTGAAGGACTCCTGAGAAGTCGCTTGGACTAACTTGGCCGACAGCGAATTCCAGCATTTGGCAACTCTTAAGGAGTAGAAGTTGTGTCTACAGTCCGTCCTGCTATGTTGTGTCTCCAATTTTTGGGTGTTACCCCTTAGGTTAGTGTTGGGACTAAGCTTAAGCAGGGGTTTAAGAGGATGTCCAGAAGTGTTAAGGATAATGTAAGCCATCAGAAGGTCACCTCTAAGACGTCTGTACTCTAATGGGTAAAGCTTAAGTGATTGGAGGCGCCCTTTATAAGGTTTAAATTTGAGTCCTCGAACTGATTCCGTGGCTCGCCGTTGGATACACTCCAAAGTGTCCTTACCCTTTTGGAGTGAGGGAGGAAGTACTATGTTTCCGTACTCTAAATGGGGACGGATAAAACTATTGAGGATTATATGGAAAGTTCTTCCGTCAAACTGGCCAAAAATGCGCTCCAATGTTACCAGTGCAAGGTTTACTCGAAAGGTATTTTTGTCACAGTTAGCGTAAGACTTTAAATCGTGTGGCACCAGGACTCCTAAATCTTTCTCTGCTTGGGATACTAATAGAGAGGAATCCCTTAAGTTGTAACTGTAGTCTGCGACATGTCGCAGGTGGACTACTTTACACTTTGAAGTGTTAAAGGTAAGTCCGTTATCGTCTGCCCAACTTTGAAGTCGAGTCAGATCCTCCTGAAGTGCCTGTATATCGTCTTGGTTGCATATCTCTCTCCAAAGTTCCACGTCATCAGCAAAAAGTAATAAGTCTGACGTTACTTGTTGAGAAAGATAATTTATGTAGATCAAGAAGAGAAGAGGTCCTAGTACTAGGCTTGAGGGAACCGCACTAGGACATTCCATAACCTGAGAAAAAGTGAAATTAGTCCTGACCTTAAAGTGTCGATTTTTCAGGTATGAAGTGAGCCAATTGATTAGAGGTGGTCTGATACCCAATCGTTTGAGCTTATTGATAAGACATATATGGTTAACCTTATCAAAAGCTTTTGAGAAATCTAGGTAGATGGTGTCAACCTTCCCCTTGCGATCGAGGATGCTTGTCCATCTGTCCACCGCAGTCAGCAGGTTGGTTATACAAGAGTAGCCCTTCTGAAACCATGCTGTTGGGGTGAGAAGAAATTTAAGGACAGTAAATAGTCATATATACCGTCGCATATCAGGGACTCCATGAATTTTGAAGGTATTGAGAGAAGAGCCACAGGCCGGTAACTTGAAGGTTCGCTGCGTCGACCTCCTTTGAAAATTGGTAAGATGTGAGCTAGCTTCCAATTTTCCGGTAGTTTTCCTCAGCTTAGCGCGTGTGGGAACATCACGCTGAGCGGCGTTGCCCGGATTGAGGCTGCTTTCCTTAGTATAGCAGGATGGACCATATCCGAGCCAGGAGAAGTGTCTGTTCTTAAGTGCTGCAGTTTCCGGAACACCAAGTCAGCGCTTAGGTTCACTTCGGAAAGTACTTTACAGTTGCAGATAAAACTGTCATCAGTGTGGTTGATGTGGGTCGGTTGAAATGTCCGAGAGTATTGTTCAGCCAAAAGGTAGGCGGCGTCGCCGTCGTTATTGGTCGGGCCGTTAAGACCTAGCAGTTGGGAAACTCCAGTTTTGGCTTGACGAAGAGAGGCTGCATAACGGAATAAGCTTTTCAGATTAGTGACAAATTTATCCATAAACTTTATCTGGTACTGAAGCCTGTCTTCTCTTATAACCTCCGTGCATATGTTCCTTATGTTTGTATTGCCTGTACGCTCCGTTGTTGTCAGTTCGTTTGTATTCTGCCGATCAGTGCCTTTTGCAGCTTAGCAGGCGAAGAGTGCGGTTCTTGATGATTGTAGGTTGTTTGCAGCTTTTGGGGACCGTTTGAGGAACTGAATGATTTGTAGCACATAAGGGCATGTGCAGTAAGAAGTCCCAATGGGCGTCCACATCGAGTTGAGGGTGAGCATCCCAAACCACCTGTTGTAGATAGTCATGTAGAGTTGACACATTCAACCGTTTGAAAATCCAGCGCATGTTGTTAATGGGATATCTTAGCTCAGTTTTGCTGACAAAACTGAAAGCTATAACGGCGTGATCGCTTTTCCTCAGGGGAGCCAGGATTGAGAGGTTGTCAACTAGAAATTCTTCGTTTGTAAATACACAGTCTGAGTGCGATGATGTCTGACTGTTTCTCCAACGAGTTGCCGACTTCAGATTTTCATATTATCCCAAGTCCTCAATGAGGTTGAAGAACTGAGCTTCAGTTGAGTTTTCACCTCCAATATACGTATGTTTCTTTCCTCGAGTGAGCCGTGTGACCGTCAAAGGCTCTATTCTAAGAAGTTCAAGTTTCTTGTTCAATTCACCCAAAGCATCCTGTCATTTTTGTCCTGCAAACTGAGTGGAAGGTCAGGGTTGTCTTTCAGGTTCATGATTATGAGAGAGTCATCACGAAGCGTTATTATTTTCCCAGGTTTTCCGGCGCGTTCAGGTTCAGCACCTTGCTGTTTGAAGGTCGAAGCACGTTTCTGAATCCTAGGCTCTTTGATGAGCGGACGGACATTCTTGGGAGTAGACTGTGCGACCAAATCACCAGTTGATTTCCGTACAACACTTGGGATGTTCAGCTTAGACGTTGACGCCTGGTTCTTTTTAGCTCTGTTAACGTTGGTCCAATCACTTACAGAGTTTTTGGGAACCACTGTTGCATTCGAGGACCCTGAGCTGGGAGACCCGAGTTTACTGAGGAAGTCTATTATCGTAGACGTAATGATGGTGCTGAGTTTCGACGTGTCATCATTAGTGCCGATGCATGCTCCATCGATGGTATACCTGTCGACATCCCTATTCTTGTTTTCTTCGCGCGCCCTTGTTTGTCTACCCGTTTTATGACTGTCATTTTCCAAGTTTGCTGACAACTTATTCCGCAGACCTGTCAATAGGAAAATGATATTACTCAGTCCAACTACGGCATCCGTGCTGCACGTAACACATTCCCACTTATGATCCGACTTGCTGTGTCTGTTGTAAGCAGTTGCTGTGAGATCTGTGCACGCTTCGTGGAACCAACCTTTGCAGTTGTCGCACTGCATGCCAGATGTAGCAGCAAAACGGCATCCAGGTCGTTTGCATGAATTTTCCATGACTATATTGACGTAAACTGTGTTATAGATGCTAGCAAAAGCCTTAGACCGTAAAAAATACACTAAAAACGGATGAAATAAACTGAACTAGCCTTTACTTGAAAAACTGAAAAAAACCGTATAGTAAGCTCAGGCAAAACCACAGTTAACTATTAAATTGGGTAAAACTCGAGAAAAGTAATCTACCGAACGTACAGCTTAGAATAGATTCTTCAGCATGTCCACATTAGTGTAGATGCATGTCCCATCGATACTACCGTTGTTGAGGTCCCTATTCTTTTCTTCACTGTGTGTCTTTGTATGTTTACCCGTTATAGGACTATCTTTTTTCCGGTTTTATGACAAATTTTTCCGCAGACCTGTCAAGAGAATGATAATGTTGCTCAGCATTCACGTTACACGTGCTAAATACCCACCTACGATTCGGCTTGCATAAACTCTTCATGATCATGGTGATGTGGATTGATGAATAGATCCTAGAAAAAGTTTACGACCGCAAAACAAAAAACAGTACACTCAAAACGGATGGTACAGAAGGTTAAGATAAACTAAAACTAGCCTTGACGTGAAAAATGGAATAGTAATTTGAGGTACAATTACAGTCAACTATTAACTTTGGAGAAACTCAAAAAGAAAAGTAATTTACCGAACGTTGAGCTTAGGACAGATTCTTTGGATCAAAAAGGGTGCTTTTGTTGCGTAAGGAAACAGCAAAAGCTTGAAAAATGCAAATCATGTTAGTACTAAACTTCGCGTTCCTGTATATATCTAATCTCGCGAATGAGTCAGTCAAAAACGTGAACACTTCTACTCCATCACTGTCTGATGAGAGTTTACTAGTTTGTAAAACAACCTGTACACTACACGAATTCTTTTCGTTATTGGCTTTCGATTTTACCTCCTATGTCCTCTCAGTTGTCATAGACTAATAGGGGACAAGAGAAAATATTTCGGGTCCAAAACCGTTCCTCAGTATCCTACACGTCGTAACCAAGTCACCTCATAATTCGTGGTAAAGTAGTTTAGAGTTTGCTAACCTGTCAAGCCACTCGGTGTATGGTACGTTGCTGTCAAAGTTGACCCACTTCTATTTTCTTTAAAACCATATTTATACATTATAAATGCCTCTACATCAGAGGTAGTATTTTTTCACCGATGAAAACCGTTCAAAAATGTACTTAACTAGGTTTTACGCTATCTTCAGTTTTAAATGAATTTCATGTCAGATAAACACGTTCATTCTTTTCTCATACCGGCTTTTTTTTCACAGGTTGAGATTTTGGTCACAAGTGACGCACGGCTTTATTTATCATTATAGTTGTCAAAATCATTTAACGAGATTCTTCAAACATGGATTTGCTTGATAAGAATGAACCCATATCTTCCATTCAAGTAATTGACGTTTTATATTTAATTTCTGTCAGGAATCAAGAGATGCTTTTGTTGTCATGGCAGAAAGTGGCATAGTGGATGATGGAGTTCAGTTCCTTTATGCTGTTGACCTCCTCCGTACTACTCGTAAAGAGGCACTTAATCTCTCCGTTAAGTTATTAGAAGGTTTGTTCCAGTAAAATAATACTACTTGCAGAATTATTTAATCGCACAAAAGATGATAGTCTACGGCGTGACTGTTTGTTTTATTTGGCAGTAGCTCACACTAAGCTGTCAGTAAGTGCGTTTGCTTACGTAACACCTCATAGGACTATGAAAACGCAACTCGGTGTTGTGATAATATATTGGTGATACAACCGTCAAACCAACAGGTCAAAGAATTAAGGAATACAATACAGTCTCGTGCTAAAAGAGGTATCGAAAAACGTTTTTACCTAAGTCTACATTGATTAAGTGTATGTAATATTTGGACTTTGGAACGTTATTGAATTTATTTTCACACTGTCGTTTGCATATTGACGCAAGGATTTATGATTATATTTAAAACCCATGACTTTCCATGTTTTTAAGAGGTAAATAATTGTTCGTATCCAAAGTGTATGGAAACAGAGTATTATCTTCGGATACTTCAGTCCTATTTATGATACTCTGCAACACCATAACTAGACAGAGAAAATGTCTAGATTAAAATAAGTGAACAGATTCTTACCGTTGAGATTAATGTCTTTGTTTACTTTGTTCCATTTTTGCACGGGTCCAAAATTTCTCATTCACTGATTAGATCAAATGAATGTTAAGTAGTGGCGTTTTAAGTAGTCAACTAACTAAAGTGTATAATAGGTCATGGGCGTTAGTTAACACTCAAGTGAACGTTGATGTTCTTGTCCAGAGGCTGTTAGCTGCCGAACTACTACGGTTGATCCATCCAAGTTATTGAAGTAGTCTGTTTCTATACATTATTATTATAATGGGGCAATGAAGACTAATTTTGAACTGATATGACCCATTGCGAAACCATGGGGTCTGCCAGTGACCGAATTCACCAATCGCACATCTAAAATAGTGTTTCATGAAATTAAGGTTTGAAGACAATATGGTTTTAGCAAGCATTTATTTTATTTATCTGGGTTACGGTTTGTTTCAACCCAGTTTGCCACATCATGTAAGGAGTCTATTCATTAAAGATAATACAAGATGCCTCAGTTGCAATACGAAATTTATTGAAAGCAAATAAAAAAGGAAACCTAAGAATTGATTAGAAATTAAATCAAAGTTTGAAATTCGGACGGAAAATAGAAGATAAGTGAGTCCGTGTCACTGCCACCGGTTTTGAGATAGGTCACCTGATGTTTTCATCCTATGCTTTCGGTCATAACTAAAATGTCTGAACTTCCCTGTCCTACTGAGACCAATATTCAGTAACTTCTTCGACTAATGTATTTGTCTATATACTCAGCTATTTCTCCACCAACTTCTATACTATCACAGAGCCCCTTGTCAGGTTGTGTGTTGAAGTACTTCAAATAAATCTTAATCAACCCACTAAATAATTGCTCAAATATTCATTAATAAGTTACAATCTTCACCTAGCACCAACACTGCTCATCGATATGTTTTGTCATATATATGAAATGATTAGAAGACATGGACGATACATAACATGTCCTTCATTTCCAAAGTTCATGTCTTACAATCATGGAATAATCCAAATCAAATTTCTACGTATTATATTGGCCTTTTGATAGACCAATAGGCATGCCACCTAGGGAACATGGGGTATTTTAATGGGATCGGAGCGGGCATATTAATATTTAGTCTGGAATTTTGTCATCTACCAACTTACCACGGTTGGTGGGACAGATAAGTGAGATGGTCAGCTTACTGGATTGTCTTACATCTTGTGGTTAAATGATATGAATATATCCCACAGTGTTTTATGTTTTGAAGAAGTTCCAGACATCGAAGTTCCTCTTACATTCATACATGTTTCAAGTAGTGAAGAGTAAAGTTGGATTTGGAATTTATATGAAATTCAAATATGATGACAGATTGTAAAGTCGTTTTTAAGCAATATAGTTATGTGACTTTATGCAACTTAAATCCACATATAGTTTTAGACTTCAGTATAAGTAGTTCGAAAGTCTTTCAACTTCTACTATATTTTACACGTAGTTACTTATTCCAATGATTTGTACGTGTAAATCACATGTTTCTATACAAGATTATTAGCAAAGTAATTTGACAAGCCAGTTCACTTGGATTATATGAAAATTTATTATTTTAGATGGCCTGACTGGTTTAGCAGTTGTTGGTGGTGCTGTTTTAGGAGCGGCTGCATTGTTAGGGATTGGTCTCGGTGTCGGTTTATCTAAACGTCGGTAACCTGGACTATTCAGTGACTATAATTTCCATCGCATGAGAAATTTTGATCATTTTCTTTCTTTGATTTTTCAAAATATGTACAAATGTCTGTACGAATTCTTATTAATTTCGTTTTCTATGTTAAAGCAATACATGTGATACGTTTTAAATGTACTTGATAACTACCAACTGAACAGCTTGAAAGGCTTTGAAAATTCATTTTAGCTTTCGTGAGCTTGATATTAATAGTGGTTGGGACTTCATTGGTTATTCTGGCGGTTGCTGTCAATGGAAGAAGGGTGGTCTCTGGGTTTTAATTTTTCCTGCTCTTTGAAATTTGAGATTTACCAAGTTCAAAGTCAAATTCCGTTTGTTATAATTCTACAATAGTTCAGGTTTATTAATTCTATTGTAAATTATTAACGTGGCGTTCCGTTTCCAATCTGTAAACGTAGTAATAATAGATAGAATATAAATTATGTATTCTACTGGATATGAGAGGTAATCTGTAGCTTAATTAAATGTTTTTGACATGATTAATTGAATCAGCTGGGGATCACTACGTCAATTACTCTTATAAAACAACTAAATATACTGACATATTAAACAGAAACAACCTGCATGAAACCATGTGGAATATTGAAAGTATAAAGAAAGTTGCTTAAGGCCATTAAGCAATGTTGATATGAGTTAATTACATTACGTATAAATTGTATTTACATAGACTAGTGAGCGATATACTTCCAGGATTATACATGTGTTAAGGTATGTCAACGACATGTATAAATAGATACTGTTAAGAATACGCGCGTCAAGCCTCTAAAAGGAAAGTGGTCTTTAATGAAGTGTAAACAGATTAGCTTTACTATTATTCAAAGGGAGATTGCCACAATTTAAATTTATGTATGACTAACCGTAATTAATAAGAAAAGTATCCATTTAAGTGTATAAACAGTTGGTGAAAATTACAGCGAAACTGAAATGTAGTCAAGTATTACATTTTCCTGTGTAATTAGTAAAGTCAAAGTTCTGAGACAATCATTATTATTGTGGACTCATTTTCAAGGTCAAAATACTATTGTTGATATTCTTATTTATATTTCTCAATGTCAAATGAACATTTTACTTGAAATGACGTAAATGTCAATACAGTATGTATGAATGCTAAGTAACCATGTCTTTCAATGATACTAATCGGATCGTATCCGTCTAAAATGTTCCACTCCCTCATCTAATTAGTATTTGATTCTAATTATCGCGAATGTCAGTAATCATCTACACGATAAAATTAACATTTTCAAAAAAGCAAAACAAAAACACTATATATCGGAAAAAACCAAACAGGAATACATATTTCATATCAGAAAAGTCTTCATTAAAGTTCGATTTGAAATAAATGTAGATTAATGAAGAAAAAAACACGATGTTATGGGATAGTGTTAACGACAATCAAAGTTGAATACACTGACGTATCTACGATGAAGGCAACAATAATCTTGCTATCTTGATAATACCACACAGCTCATGCTTCTCGCTGATTTTGCTGATAACCTTGTTTCGTAACAGTAAGTTTGCGTGAAACACAGGTAACTGGTCTACCTTCCTGCTCCAAAACTGCACCAATACCCACAGGTGATGCATCAGTAATAAGTACAGAAGGTACACTAGGTAAGTTCGAAGAACAGTATCACTTTAAAGAAATTTTAACAGATTTCATAAGCATGACTCTTGTTCCTCACCTTAACCTAAATGAATTGGATATAAAAATACTAAAGAAACAATTGGAATGACAAGAAGATTTAGGAACAAAACGGGAATCGTATTAAAAAGCACTCACTAGTGAACGTAGTTCTGTACGATTTTTAAAGACAGTGCATTTATCAATGGAGCCAGTCGTTTCATATCTGGCCTAAAACCATTACCATGAACTATTTATCCAAAACATTCAAAACTAGATAATCTGTGTCGGGTAGACACAGGTATCTACCTCTGTACAATGAAGGATGTTCGCGCAGTCTCGTGGTTTGGTTGGAGGTAGACACGATTGGACGCCGACTCAGCTGTCTAGAGGTTAGGCGTTTGGGCGCGAGACCGAAGGCCCTGGGTTCGAATCCTACGAGCGGGATCGTGGACGCTCACTGCTGAGGAGTCCCACAGTAGGACGAAACGGCCGTCCAGGTTTTCATACGGTGGTCTAATATCAATCAGTTCATGATCTCAATCAAAAACTGGCTGGCAAATCTAGAACCCGTTAGAAATCGCATTTGTAAACACTTCATAGGTGATACTTTTGAATGTATCGAGCACATAAAAGAAGTGGATGTAAATGAGAAAATTATGCTCTCTGGATGTCGAATCATTATTCACTAGTGTTTCACTCACATAGTTCATTAATTTTATCTGCAAGTACGTAAAAAGTAATGAGATTAACATCGAAATACCGGAAGTTTATTTGAAAGAACTATGACTACTTTGCACTTGCAATGTACAGTTCACATTCAAGGACGTAATTTATAGACAGAAGGATGGCATAGCAATGGGATCCCCACTTGGTCCATTACTAGCAGATCGCTTCATGACCAGTTTAGAAAACAACCAACTCAAAACGATCATGGGAAACCTGCACTTGTATAAAACGTACGAAGATGATATCTTTATCATTTGACAACAAATATGATTTGAGTCATCTCCTAGAAACATTTAATAATTGTCACCCAACAGTAAAGTTCACACTAGAAGTTGAAAACAAAAAAAATAAACTTTCTGGATGTGGAAATGCCAAGAAGTCACGATGGTACCCTAAGAAGATCTATCTACAGGAAACCCATGTGGAATAGCCAACTATCAACTTGTCACAGCTGGGTACTCATCAGTCGAAAAAGAAACTTAATAATAACACTCGCTATAAGAATACGAAGAATCTGTAGTCTCGAATCGTAGATGAAGAATTGGGACTCTTAAAGGAGATACTTATCAAGAGCAGGTATCTTTTGATATTCATCGATAAGATCACAAGGCCGAAAACACAAGTAACTACAGTAGAAAAGAAAACTTTATACATGAACATCGACTTCATGGGTGACAGAGCCGCATACATCTTAAAGAGTAGGATTTCTGAGTCCTTGCAAATAGTATTCTTCAGTTGGTCATTGTTCACCAACAATTTTAAAGATAAATTATCGCATCTGACCAACTCAATGCGTATTTACCAATTTACTTGCTCATGCGGAGATAGGTATATAGGTCGTTCGATGCGTACTTTATCCAAAAGAATTCAAGAACATTATCCGGCGTGGCTAAAAGTAGGAGACAACAGCTCAATAAGAAGTTCAATAGTCAAACAAAAGTCACTCAATCAAGACAGACTCTGCGTTCAAAGTCATCTACAACGTAAGTAGAAGTCTCCCCAAAACAATTAGACCGCATCTCCGTTGCACTGCCGAAGCATCAGCCATACATCTGAAAAGCCAGAATTGTGTGTGCAAGAGGCTGGTACAACGTCTTCCACCATGGTCTTGATGTGTTATTTTTTTCTTTTTCGTACTCTTCTTCCTTTGCAACCATCTGCTTCACCCTCCATCTTCCCCTTAAATCTTCTACTCCCAACTGGTTTATTTTTGTTTCCACGGTCATCCTAATTACACTTAATCTCAATTTCAACATTTTGTCTTGTCATGCTGAGCCATCCTTTTCGAATGATAATTCCCCTATCTATATTTTGATGAATACTTAAGCCATTAACAATCAAACGATTACTAAACCTTCCTTGTTCTAAATAGTTTTTAATACCTTTGTTTATTTAACCTCACTGTCATCATGTATAACAGAAGTTTGTTATCATCCTGTAAAAATAAGTATATATATTTGCGATTGTACAGCTTTGAAAATGAATTCGCCGAAAGGAGGACTCTTCGCTGAACTAATCTTTTTTATTCATAAACTAGATATACAAAATGAACACTTATTTGAATTCACCGTAATATTCTCAATTAAACGACGCAATAAAGTAGTAAGTCTCTGGTCATGAACTACCTTATCAGAACCATGAACAATGAAATAGTTTTGATAAATTTCAAGGTCACTGACTACTTTTTTCATCACTTCCGGAAATATGACTGCAGAACAATTTAGACCGAACATGAGGGAGTTTTATTTGAACAGACCAAATGGAGTGTTAATTGTTGTCAAAATAAAAGGAGATTGACTCAAAGGGATTTGAAGATAAGCATATTTTAAGTCAACTGTCGAGAACACTTTAGAACCATGGAGTCGACTTAGAATATCTTCAGCGTCTACCGTCATGCACGTCTGCCTCAACAGACGGGGAGTTCAGTGCTAATCTATAATCATCACATATTCTAGGGGTCTTGTCATCGGACTTCAATAGCGCAACGATAGAAGTACCCAATGCTGAAGACTGAATCGGTTCAATTATACCTTTTGCACATAAATCGTTCAATGTCTTATGTGCTGCTTCTCGAAGACAATAAAGAATTAATCATCTTTTAAAATGATCGAACGTCCTTATACTTGAAGATTTATAAACTGAATTTTCATACCTCCACTGCAGTTAGCACACGTAGCTTTCAAATCTTTAAGTGACACAGGATTTTCCTTAAAAACTAGTAACGACAACTCCACATTAAGCCTCTTCAAATTTTCTAAACCCAGTATTGACAGTCCTGTTTCTTTAACTAAAAATTCACAAGGTATGTATGAAGAATAATTATCTATTATTATTAATTCACAGCATTCTCGTATGGGCAGTCTGTGTACAGTAATCTCCAGTATCAAAATCTCAGTGGGTCTTGCCACAACGTTAGAATCTAAAGATTTCATGTTCTTAAATGAAATAATGGACTCTACCAACACGCGCTATTTAAGAAGAACAGAGGCATTGTTTCTCGTTGAGTTAAATTTACTGTTTTGATTTAGCTTCAAAGCATACTTGACCGACTTGGGCTTGATTTATTTAGTTAAAGTTTTAGATTTTTTCAAATATCCGTTTTGTGTTGTCATTTCTAGTTAATTTTTAAGATGGTCGGCTCTGCTCACAAATGTGGACAGTCATAATGCTTATTCCCTGTGGTGGAAGGAATGTAATATAATGAGTGTAAAAAAAGGTCCCATAATATGTGTACCCGCTTAAGTCCCACAGTGTGGTGGTGTGTGTGGTCAGATTGTTCGAAATGTATTGCGCTAATACATCACATGCTTCTGAAAACATTGTCACTCTGTTTTTCTATTCCTTCATATAATATCCACAATTGCAAGGTTATATTTTAGCAGTTAGTACTTTTACACGCCTATGTGTTTAGTCTTAACGTTCGAGTAAATGAACTAACCTGATCTTTCTACTCATTTCGCTGTTTATATATATGACCTTAAGATGCATCTGTAATAGTATGTATGTCCTTACATCATTATTTGTATCTTTCACATCTATAAATGT